GACTCAAGCGCCACCCCCACCTTTCTCTGAGATACCTAATCAGAAAATACATCCAGGTAATGGATTTTTAAAAGCTCCCATGATCTGACACGCCCCTGGTCTGAGACTTAGTAGATTTGCTGCCTCATCCCTTCACCCTGGAACACCGGGGACATAAAAATATCTGAACACCCCTGGTTTTGAAGAGAAAACCCCCTTGACTAGTTTTAAAACCCAAAGTACTTCCAGCCACACAGGTGTCAATGCAAGTCAAAAAAGTACCTCTGGACAGACAAGGGCCCTGGCCACAAATCTAGAGCCTCATAAAGATGGTTTCTTTATGACAGAGCTAAGGCAGAGTACCATCTCTGTGACCTGAGCGCCAGCAGGTAGGAGCGGACTCCACAGCCCCTCCTTAATCCTGTCTGTCCGGTTCCAGACACAGCGCTCACTTGATAAGCTTGCAGGAGAGGCGCTCCGCTGGCTCACACAAGGCTTCGGCTGAGTAGGAACGAAAACTCACGCAGCAGAGAGGACCAGAAGGTGTCTCTGAGACCAGGCCTAAGGTACGTATTCTAAAAAAAAGCAAACATGTGGCGATGTGCATCTGAAACGAAAATAATGTTCTATGTCAAAGGCATCGCTATTCAAGAAACACAAAAGAGCCTGGCAGAAGAGGACTTTGAAAATTTCTGCAGAATTCAATAATAATAAAAAAAAAAAGTTGTTCTGCTCAGAGGTGAGGCCCTTCCAGACCCTTTTCCTCCAAGAAGAAAGAGTAGCAAGTTTACAGGCTCAAACCTGGACACGCCTCTCAGAAATTCCCATTGCTCATCTGGCAGGCCTCCAAAACCTGACTGAACTGGCAAATATTCAAATACAGCTATTCAAAATATGTTTAATGAGGCTAACACGGGGCTCCCACCACAGAACCCCACCTTCCCTTTCTCTGTGTGAACTGAACCTGTGCAAGTTAAGATGGGGGTGCCATCATCAGCGCAGAGAGACTACCGAGTGTTGAGAGAGCCACCCCGAGTGAAAAGACGCTGGTAGGGAGAGTGGTTTTGCTGAGAAGTGCGCTGTCTTCTTTAAACCAGCTACGTGGATGTGCAAGTCACGCCCAAGCCCTTGTTCCTCTGCTGGTGTGAAAACAGCTGTAATGGTGAACATTCTCGAAATACCACACTCAAAGAAACATGAAGATGTTTAAAGACACAGTGGTCTATTAGTAAAATCTTTCGGTGAAATCTTTTTCATTCTACAGATGAATAAATGGAAGGAATGGTCACACCTTGTAGACACAATAGCAGCTGGAATCAAAGGCTGAACTCAGTTGTTTTAGATCCATTCACCTGCTGGACAAACAGCTCTTTGGCCCCAAATCAACTATTTCTTTGGTGTACACAAATAAATCAGCCAGTCACTTGTCACAGCTTTGAGGGGGGCGGTTTCTGCAAAATTCCAGATTTGCGAAACCAGACCCCAGACCCCTCTCTTTAAGTGTGCATTGCTCGTTCGTCTTTTCCTGCTCCCCCACCCATCCCGCCCAACATTAAAGCGTGGCTTCACTCTCACAAGCATTCCTCACATAGCCTGAATTTTAAAACCCAGGCCATTTTTCAGTGGAACAGAAAGTGCCGGTTCCCCCAAAACTCAACCTCCCCACCCCTCGATTAGTCTCCAGATCACCAGACCTAGTGCAGGAAGGCAAGATTCAGCTCCTTTAATTTTAAATGAGGCAGGAAGGAGGTGTGCATGGGATCTCTCTCTCTCACATACACACACATGCACACACCCCTACCCTACCCTCGCCACCCATGAGTCACTCTCCTATGCAGGAGATTAAACTGAGCCCAGAATCTGGGACCAGGAAAGAATTTTCCCTCAGGGGCAGAAAGAGGCGTGGAATTTCCAAATGCACCAAGAAGGCGGATCCGCTGTGTGGATGAGGTGAGCAAATCCCACATAATTCACTTCCTACTGCAGCAGACACAGGCGAGGCACAGGCCCTTCCAGAAGGTGTCGGTCGACGCCCCTGCAGATGGTCCCACTGCTGCCGGGCCTGGGCCAGCCCGGAGCAGCTGTCCCAGAGCTGCTGGAAGCTGCGCACAGTGACCACTGCCCAGTGCTGACCTGTGCTGAGGACGCATGAGACGGTCACTTCTATGTTACACGTTCTATTCAATAAAATATACAAAATGTAAAAAGAGAAGCTGAGGTGGAATCATGATGTTGCCCGTCTGGAGGAGCAGCTAACATGCTCCCAGGCTGTGAAAGGGTTTGGAGATGGTAGATGTTACCCCTGACCAAAGGAAAGGGAGGCTGGTGGCAGAAGGGGACACGCTGGGCTGGCCAGGGAGCCCGGGCCCAGGAGAAACCACTGGCTTTGGGCCAGGCATTTCCAAGGTCCACATTCGGGAGCCTTGTTTTACTCATTACTAGGAAGGCTCACAAAGGTCCTTCTCCTCTCAGTACTTTAAGAAAAATTGTTTTTTATTATCTTCTCAAGTCATTTTCTCCTCCAGTGTTTCAATCAAAATCTCTAAAGCTGTGAAAATTTCATCTGCTCTGGAAACATGGTTTAGAAACACAACAAGTTCTTCTGGAAAACAGACAGGAGTGTTTTCAAGGCTAGAAATTTATTTGGAAGACTAAAAATATTTCAATGCCCATGCTCCAATTTCCCTCACGTAGTACGAGCAGGGTCTTATCGACCTACAGTTATTTCTCCAACTTGAGGGCAGGGGGATCACACGGCTACAAAATTCAGTATGCACAAAACGTTCCTTAAAAGACTATCTTTTAGCTGTTTAAGAATTAATGAAATAACTAGGACACTATTGAATATTTAAATTTGAGTGTTAAAAATTATGATCTGAAACACAGAGATGAAGTACCAATGCACTGTAAATTTGCAGTCAACCTGTGTGCATTTTCATTCAAATATTAGTGAACACAAAAATATTCCAGAGCATAGTATGTATAGCAAGTTCAATGATAAATCATATAACTAGGTCCAACATTTCCTTTTAGTAACTTACATAAAGAGCAATTAATCTGCTTCTCTATTATATTTTATAACTTTTTTTCTATATGTTACCAAACCTGAAAATTTTAAGTATCTTCCTGAAAATGTCTACACCAGAGATTTTTTTTTTAATACATGGATGAGCACTCAATGAGATGGGTCTCCCTAACAGCGTTTATACGGCCTTTCCGAAGATATAATTATCACTGGAAAAATCTATCAACGTTAGACAACATGCAAATTAGAATAAATTACCAAGTAAAAAGAGGTGACGAAAGAGTAAGAAATATTAAGACTCCTAAGGAGAGGCCGACCCAGCAAGTGGGTTAAAGTCTGCCACAGAGCAAAGAAAGGAGGTCACCTGTGATGAAGAGAGGGATCCTCAGTGCTCAGGGCCCGTTCTGCAGCGCTCAGGAGGGGCAAGGCACAGAGGAAGAGGCACAGGAGCTGACTCTGGGGCTGCGGGACCCTCCGGAGCCTTCCAGCTGCTGCAGGAGCACAGGAACCTACTAGCCCAACCGCCTGGACGGCTGGTGCAACGGGAGGGTGTGGCAGACAGTCCTCTAATGATGATACTCAACACTTACGAAGCAGATCTGAAGATTCTGGAAGATTTTGTGGACAGATGAGCATAGTACCCAAGAGTCTGAATTATCCCCAGTCAACAGATGGAGAAGGGAGAGGATGTAGGGTGGCAGAAAGCAAGGGAAGGCAGCAACGTTCAGATGCCACATGTTGGGCAGTCGGAAAGTCGCCAGATGGATGGCGAGGGCAGGGTGAAGACCGACTTAGCAGAGGCTGATGCTGTTTTTGGCGTTTAATAAGCTGTTTCTGAAACTATTTTATTTGGGGGGAGACAGGAGAGAGGGAAGCAAGATCTCGTTACCACGTAGTTGAAGAAAATCATGTCCAAAACAAAAAAACTTTCTAGAAGTAGAGAAAGGTCAGTGGGTCAACGGAAATAAGAATCCTTTAGCCCTCCGCTGGCATTGTCAGTTTTCTGTTTTCCTCTTGCTCTTTCTCCAAAATGGACTAATGTAGGTTCAAAGAGATCAGAATACAATAAGGAAAGGTGAGGGGAGAGAGGCTGAGAACAAGAGAACTCCATTAGCCAAGCAGCGCTACACTTGGGTCCTCTGTGCAAGCCAAACACGGCTCAAGCCAAAGGAGGGCGAAGCAGCCTCAGAAGTACATTTACAACAGGATATATGGAAATAATACGTGAAATCAGAACTACTCCAGGAACTCTGGACTGGACTTTAATAATATGCTCTCTGCTTCGATAACCAGAATAACCAGAACTTTGCTGGAAGATCTAATCCTCTTTCATCTCGTCCTCATCCTTAAGCCATTCACAAATGGTTTGAATCACGAACTTCTTTTCCAAACCGATACCTGCATAATACCTTCCTTGTTTTAATGTCTTTTCAGTTTCTTCCTTTCTCACAGTCTAGCCTTTCCGAACCTTTCCTTTTCACCTTTCTCACCCTTTAATAAACCCTCTCTGTAGGGGGCACTTTGGTCAAAATCTCAGCCAGAAACCACTAGAAGCATCACATCTCTCCCCATCTCACAGAAAGGGGGCTAAGTGGGGGATCCTGCCTCCCCCACCAACCCTTTATACTCAGATGCCCACACGGGTTTCCTTCTCCTCCAACAGCGCTTCTCCAAACACAATGTCAGGCCAACCCAATTGGAATCAATTGAAAAAGGAGTTTTCTGGACATCTGTGTAGATTTACCAGCTAGGAGGGGCTGCAACCCACCACTCTTCACTTCAGAAGTTACCCAGGTGATGCCCTGGAGTTTGGGGACCACTGCCTCACCCCTCAACTCTTCCCAGCCCGAAGCACACAGGACCTCTTCCTAAGCGAGCTGTGAATGAGTACCCCAAAGCTGTGAATGAGTACCCCAAAGCTGTGAATGAGTACCCCAAAGCTGTGAATGAGTACCCCAAAGCATCCGAGGGGAGCTGGAAGGCAGTTCTCTCTCACCTGCGTTTTCAAGTACAGATGGCAGGAGGCAGGCCAGCCTGAGACAAAGTGAGGGTGAGACATCAGCAAAAACCCAGACTTGTCAGCCCTGCTCTGTGGCTACTGCCAATTACAGTAGCCAGACCTGCAAGAGTGCCGATTCCATGTCATTTATAAAAAGTAAACAAGCTGGGCGGCTTGCGAACGATGAATGGTGAGAGCCAGCCAAGAGGCAACACAGCAAAGTAAATGACTCAGCCCCCCCCCCCACCCCGACAATCATTGGTTGTGTTCTGGCTAGGGTTAGAGAGAAAACAGCCAATGAGGGTAACGATTTAAATAACCATCGGCTGTTTAAGAGAGATTTGGGTTATTCCATCAACAATGAGGAGGGGTTACAGGTGCCCACCTCGGTACTCAAAAAGATCTCAGAATAACGAATGCATGCTTCCAACTTGCCACACAAGCCACGCCTAGGTTCTGACTCTGAGTAGAAACTGGGCACAGAAACAGAGTAAATAATGCAGACGTAGGGCCGGCGTCAGGAGCCCAGGCCAGGGTTCCCAGGATCAGCGCTGCTGCTTGGGGGCGGGGTGGGGGGCTGGGTCCTATGTGTGGGTGCTCAGAGCAGCCAAACAAAACAGCTCCAGCGGGCTCCCCGCTTGCGGGTCAGTGAGCCGAGGGAAGCCACAGTCAGCTCCAAAGAGCTCAGATCCCTGCCACGGTCAAGGCCACTCGGGCGTGGAAGGCCAAGTGCTGGGAGCGGCCTAAGGCTTTTAGGAGCCCACAGAAAGTGCTTTAGTATTAATTTTTAAAAGCCTGAATACAAAAATGACATTATAGTAATGAATATATAATAATAAATCTTGCTTGGTATAGATTCATCTTTCTACAGTTGCAAAACAGGGTTTGTATTATTTTCCTTGTAGAGAAGGGAGCCCGAGAAGGTAAAGGTGGCCCCCGCCACCCCAATAGCATGAGAGGTGTCAGAGGGCTCTGAGAGTCAAGTGCTGGCTGGAGTTCTGGGTGGCCCCAGGGACTGGGACTCAGCAAGAGGCAGGGAGTTCCAGGGACTCCCGGAGGAGAGAAGAGCAGACGCCAAGGCCGCAGTGAGAGCCCGAGGTCGGTGTGGTGCTGCGGAGTCCAGTTCCGGGGGCCTTAGCGGGGAGGGGCGGGCAGGAGGGGGCCCTGGCTGTCCGCCGGCACCAGGCCCCTGGAGCGGAGAGGAGGGCTGTGGGCGTGCTCAGGGCACAGGGAGACGTCACGCGGGGGACACGGTGACCACTCTGCTTCCGGGAGGTCCCCTGGCTGCCCGTATGGAGACAGTATGGCGTGTGCAGGAGTGAACCGGGGAGACCCTGCAGCGGCCAGAGGAAGCCAGGGCAGGTTAGGCACCGGAGGGGCCACTGAGGGTGGGACCTGGGGAGGGAAAACCAACAGGATCTGCTTGCTGGGGGTGGCCAGGGAGTGGGAGCCACACACCACCTCTGGCTTGGGCCACAGGACAGGGATGGCGGAGGACTGAGCCGGGAGGGAGCAGCATATTATTTCTGGACCTGATTCAGGGGCACAGGGCTCAGGGCCGGAGACCGGCTCCGAGTGGCTGTGGTCAGGAGTGCAAGCAGTTACTTCTTTTTTTTTTTTTAAAGATTTATTTATTTATTCATACAGAACTGGGGTGCAAGCCAGAGGTACAGGGACAGTGAGAGGTCTCACCAGAGACAGAGTGGGGAGCAGAACAGACAGACTGATGAAGTACACTGCTGAGGGGAGCAGCGGGCTGGTCAGGAGCAGTCACCTCCGGGGCCAGGGATCAAACTCGCACCTAAGCGGCTGCAGCCAGCTTGCAGTGCTGCATCCTAACCCACTGCACCACCAGAGAGGGCTACAAGTAGTTACTTCTACGGGTGCAGAGTGAGAAACGGGTTGTGACAGGGTCTTCAAGGTCTCAGCGGGTCATTCGGGACACTTACCTGGGCCTGCAGATCTACGCGTGGCCTTCAAGGCCAGAGGCATACAAAGGTATTAAGGCATTGCGCACGGACTTGTAAGAATTCTGTGGAAAGTGAGATCCCAGAGCTTTTGCAAAGCTGAAAAGAGGTCAGGGACTCACGAAAGAGGAACCGCCATAACCGTGGGCGATGGGAGAAGGTATGGGAAAGAGCGTTTTTTTGTTTTTTATTTTAAGATTTATTTTTTTATTCATACAGAATTGGGGTACAGGCCAGAGATGTGGAGG